TGAAGACAGTGAGTTGAAGCTACTCACCAGCAGGTGTGAGACAACCTCTGTGCAGTCGCTGCCTCAATCAGTTCGACTTCTTCAGTCTCAACTTAAAGCGGAAAGGCTTGCTTTAGCTCAGCTCCGACTTGAAGTCAAAGATGCAATAAAGATGTCAGAGGACTGCCGTGCGCACCATCATGCCTTAAATCTAGTGTTGATGCATCTATCGTTGACACAACTGAGGTCTACTCAGCTTCTTCAGCTGTTTAGGGGCCCCGACCTAGCCAGGCCTAGTGCCTTCTGAAGTGCTCTCAGTTTTGTATATTCTTTTGTCGGCGTGTTTATTTGCACTGGTGGCGAACTTTGATGCCCAGTGGATGTAATATGTGTGGTAGCCGTGATAGCCTAGCGTAAGTTGCTTCCTTATTTATTTCCTTGTTGTCTTGTTTATTTGTTTGCTTGTAGTCATTGCAGTTCTTTTTCCGCGGTTTGCTAGTGGCTGCAATAACCTATTTTTTAAAACTAGGCCACAATAACCATGGGCTAATATTTACTGTAGTGACACTGGGCCTCCTACGGGCCGTAGAAACAGTGGGCCTTCTACGGGCCGTAGAAACAATGGGCCTTCTACGGGCCGTATCATCAATGGGCCTTATATGAGCAGTATGATCGATTGGCCAAACATGGGCCAATAACAGGCCGCATTATGGCCGTAAATGGGCTAGAGTTAGAATCGTCCATTCATGGGCCGACCATAATGGGCCATCATTAATAGGCCGTATTTGATGACGCTATGAAAATGGCCCAATGTATTAACGGACCACAAACGGGCCGACTGTAACCACAGGCTGAATTTGGCCCACAAGCAGAAAATGAAGTAACGGGTCGTAAGTAAACAATGCTAGAAATGAGCCCAAGAATAAATGGGCTCTGAGAAGGCCGAAAGATAACATGGGCTGGAAACAGCCCAACGGAATAACGGGCCATTAATGGGTATAAAGTAATACACTGTTCATTATGGGCCAGTTTCACCACGAGCCGTTAATGGGTGTAAAGTGATGCACTGTTCATGACGGGCCAGTTTCACCACGGGCCGTTCATAGGCCGAGAGTTACATAGGGCCTCATATGGGCCGGAAGACGTCATGGGTCATACATGGACCAGAAGTGAAAACGGGCTGGAATCATATTGGGTGGCCCAGATGACGCTACTGGGCCTAATTCGGATAGGGCGTAATGGGCCTTAGTTTAGCGGGCTGTAAATGGGCTATATGCGAACAGACCATTAACAAGCTTTACATGGGCCGGCCCACCACCTTTTGACCAAGTCAAACGGGCCGACCTTTTCACAGGGAATGGGCCTCTGTTGGGCCGTGCCACGTGTCGACGTATCATAGGCGCCTTCTGTCCAATGAGTGGATGGCATCTGTCCCAACGATGAGCCGACACGTGTTTCCTCCAGCCAATGATGATTTTACACGTGGAAAATCCCCATTGGTCGGGGCTGTTAACGGGTTATCGGATCCAAAACCTGACCCGATAGCTTAACGGCGTTCCGTTATGGTGGATGCCACGTGTCGGTCACCCTTGACGAAAGCATTTCTGTGACGCGGGATTTATCGTCATGGAAGTGGACACTTCCATGATGATAATTTTGGTAATGTCATGGAACACTTCTGCGGCAGCACAGGTATGACTATCTTGATTCTGTCATAAAATCGTCATGGATGTACATGCATGACAGAAAATGCGACCTACTGTGACAAACATGTATCATCACAGAAGTGTATTTTTTATAGTGATGTTTCGAAGCACCCGTTGCAAACTGGTAACGATGTTGGGGTCTGCCGTCATAGCATGAAGTTTGTCTATGAGCACTGCAGTTGCCTAGAGGCCACGAGCCAGCGTTCATAGGAGGCCGACGTTTGCGTTTTCATAGAAGTCATTAACTACCTCGCTTCCAAGGGTCGCAAGGGCGTTGGTGGTTGACAATGGTTGGCGGCAAGGTTGGCGGCTTCTTTCGTTTGCCATCGTTTCTTTCCAGCGCTCCTGTTATGCGGCGACCTCTGACATTCTCTTCTGGAGTTGTAGCTGAATGACCATGGTGGTCCGTTAGAAGGCCTCCATGGTTTGCGTGGTGCGGTCGGTCCCCAGTAGGGGTTCGCTAACCGCAATGCCTCCTCAATGATGATTGGCTATGTCATTGTTGTCATGGCAAGGCTGTTGGTGGCGGCCCCAGGGGTCATGAATCCTGAGGGGCCATTGCTGAGGACGACAAAACCATTGGGGTGCTGCCCAACCGGGGTGGGAATCAGAGGTGCGAAAGTACGACGGTTATCGACTCTGAGGTTGGAGGCGTTGTGTCCGGTGGGACAACATAGGTTGCCGCGGCTCCACTAGTGTTGATGTGAGTCGGAGCTGCGCCTGGTGCTTCAGAGTTGTTTCTCATGGGGTCATCATTAGGACTTGCTCCAAAGTGACGGCTTGTGGGACTTTGTCGTCGTCAGATGTTGTCTCTCGTCCTAGGGTTGCCTCACTATTCTCGGTCTCTGAGATGGAGATGACACCGGCCTCATCGTCTTCTATCTCCGAGATGGAGATAATGCCAGCCTCATCATCCTCCATTTGTGGGAGCAAGAAGAGGCTAGCATAGCTGATGCCACAACCCGAGAAGTATCCATCCCATATGCAATCTTCTGTGACGTGGTCATTGAAGCAATTGTCGCACACCATGGTTACTATATGTGACGTTAGGGGGGTGGAGGGTTATCCTGAGGTCGATGCGGCGACACGATCCCGAGGCTAGGATTCGGGCCCTGACTTCAGATCCGTCGGTGCGAGATCCTTGTCCTCTGAGTCAGAGGTTGGTGGCGTAGACAACATGGACCTCAACGGGATCACGCGGGCAGTCTGTTGAGGCAGTGGCCGGTGGAACGCATAGGTGGAGGTCACCGTAGCGGTTGATGACGAACGCCGGTGTTCCAAAGATGATGCTGCAGGTCGGGGAGGTCGGTGGGTTTACGTCAAACCGACCGAACTCATTCGTGAAGGTGAGGGAGCCAAAGGTAGGACTCTCTCCTAGCGCGAGGCCTGAAGGAGTGATGGTAGATCTAATATGGATTCGGTTTCCAACCGACGCAACCTTGAGTGGCACGCCAACCAACGGTCCGGAAGCCTCCAGTGTGCTCGGTAGGGTGGCAAATGCGCCCGGAAGTACCAGAGGGGAGTTCGCACAAAGGGGTTGCCCAGGTTCAGGCCCTCGTGGTGAGGTAATACCCTACATCCTGCTTCTGGTTTGTATTCGTGTTGGAGCACCTCTTGCGAGGGGGTTACAATGGAGAAAGGTATATGGCTATCGAGAGTATAGTCTATGTTGTAGATCAGAATATCTACCCCTATCCCCATCTTATATAGACGACGTGGGCTAGGGTTTACATGGGGTTCGACGATCTCATGTCGCCGCCATCTTGGCTTGCACACCAAGATGTTCTCTTGATCTCGGGCCTCCGGGCTGCCCCCTCACGCCAGACCATTGCCAGGCCACCTGCGCCCCGAGGTGGGCTTGCAACCAGGTTTCCTACCAAGGGGCCACCTCTGGTGTATTACACCATCATAAAACCTCGTCCCATGTGTGGACAAGGAGTTAGACGCCTGGCTGGCTCTCTACCGGTCCCGTGAGGAATCTCAAGCTTTGCCTTTGGAGTCACTTCAGCGAGAATTCATTGCGTACGCGCAAGTGGGGCTTGGATCCAGTGGCGCCGGCGACTTGAGGCACGTGACCACGCCAGAACCAAAGGCGATGAGTACCGGCTGGAGGTATCAACGCGCCGAATCGGACGACTCTAGGTTGGCAACACAACCCTTGCGGTGGAGCCTTGTCCTGCGATGCCAGGCTCCAAATCTGAGGTCCAACGCTGTGAGACGACACAATCATAGATGCCTTGAGGAGCGGTGTGCCCACCGTGCGAGGAAGAAGTTGTGCGCACCGCGGAGGCCGAGTCGTACACCGCATCAGACCAGCCCGCGGAAGATAAGAGCGTGGATGCCCTTTTGTGCCTGCATCCTGCGAAGTGGGAAGTCTGAACAACGTGTGCCCTCGCACTGGAGCAAACCCAGGCAGTTAGGTCAGTCCGTGCCCTGGCCGGACTGCCCACGAAAGAGGAGGAGTAGTAGGAGGAGGAGGCCGGTGACGCACCCGACAACTACGATAGTGAGCGATCCGACTTGACCTATATTGCATTTTCGACCGCTACTTCCGCGGCGACGATCATAACAAGGGCAAGGGATAGAACAAGGGCAAGGACAACATCAGGTGAACTTTCTCAATAGATAACTAGAACATGTAAATTTTTGATAGTCCGATGAGATATATAAGAACTCTTACTTTTGTAATGTGCGTTGATGAACTACCTACACTGTTTTTAACGTTGCATGAACTGTTTTTAACACTGTTTTGTCAATCCACCGTTATCGGTATTTTTTTTTATAATTGTGCTGCTTTCGCCCCAGCTTATATTGTTGGTTGTAATATAAAGCGGGGAAACCCTTTTTCGTATCGTGGTCTTGAAACGAGGGGAGGGGTATAGGGGTGACGCTTGCAGCTGTAGATGCTGTAACCCGACGTGGCAAACACCGCTCGACCGGACTAAACCGGGCAGCCACTCACGCGCCTCGTCGAGTCCCACTCGGCCGGCCGGAACCAAACCAAACAAGAAGGAAAACATGTCCACATCACGGGCGGCCAGGCAGCCAGCCACGACGCCCCTCCATTTCTCCCCACTGCCCGACCTCCCCGCACGCACGCGCGAGCATCTCCAACTCCGCCCCCGCCTCCGATTCCACGCCTCCTCTGCGCGCGCCAGATCCGGCCGGCGCACCGCCTCCGCTGGCCGGCGGCAGGCGTGACGCGGCGGGCCTGCCCTCGCCGCGCGCTTGACTACAGAGAGATCGCTGTCGCCGTCCACTGCGGGGCCCGAGAGCGCGAAGGTGGGGTTGGCTACGGGCCGCTGAGCGAGGGCAATGGCGCGGCGGTGGCGGCCGTCGCACCTTGTGTTCGTCGCGGGGGTGGCCTATCTCATCCTCATCTCCCTCAAGTTCCGCCGCGTCCTCGACCTTGCCACCGCCGACCTCGCCGCTGTTGACTCCGCCTTCTCCTCCCCATCCTCCACCGACCACCTTCCCCCTCTCCTCCCAGGCAACTCGTCCTCCTCCAATGCCACCCTGTTCCAGGTCCAGCCCTTCTGGCACCGCTACGACCGCGTCTCCCTCCCCGACATCGCCGCTCGCAACCGCTCCGCGCTCGACCGCATGGCCGACGACGCCTGGTCGCTCGGGCTCACCGCCTGGGAGGACGCCGCAGCCTTCGCCGGGGACCCCTGGGAGCTCGCCGCCGTCGATGCCGCCTCTACCGACAAGTGCCCCGCCGCCGTCTCCGTGCGCGCGCGGGGGAGGGTCGTCTTCCTGCCCTGCGGCCTCGCCGCTGGCTCCGCTGTCACCGTCATCGGCACGCCTAGGTCAGCGCACAAGGAATACGTGCCGCAGCTCGCCAGGATGCGCCAGGGGGACGGGACCGTGCACGTCTCGCAGTTCATGGTCGAGCTGCAGGGCCTGCGCGCCGTTGACGGCGAGGACCCACCCAGGATACTGCACCTTAACCCCAGGCTGAGGGGGGACTGGAGCCAGCGCCCCATCATCGAGCACAATACCTGCTACCGGATGCAGTGGGGCTCCGCACAGCGCTGTGACGGCTTGCAGCCCGAGGACAACGACGACAAGGGTACATCCTTTTCCTTCTTCAGCAATGCTAGCTTGGACCTTAAGATGTTCTTTCCCGAGTGAGCAGCTCTTGTTATTTGTTACTAGTAATGTGGTTAAGATTAATTTATATTGCATCGTCAAATTAGCGCGGAGGTAAATCGATTGCATTGCCAGCCTGATGCCATATTGCCATGTTTCTATTTACAACTTACTAGTTAACCATTACAGCTGCTATAATGTACCTCTACCAACTGACAATCACAAGTTTACAACTCCTTGTAAAATCTAACCCATGGAATTTCCTATTTACAACATAAAAGCTGGTTAAACTATCAAGTGCCGGACACATGATACATACATTTGCTCCTGGGGACTTCATAATATTAATGCCACGCCCTTTTGATACAATAGGTTCCATAGCACTGTTAGAGCTTTAACGTTGTCCAGTGTGACTCTTCTGGATAATATCCATTTCAACTAGTACAATTAATATGTAAACTTCCATATATAATTATCATTTTGTGTGATTGTTCATCAACACCTTGATGTCTACCATATGTAACTGCATGCCAGAATTAAAAATAAATAATATGAATAGCTCTATTGACAGTTTCTTGAATCACATAGCAATTATCTTTATTGGTGATTTTCATCTTCCGGCAAGTGTTCTTTTTCCACATCAGTTAGAATTCTACCTGATGTAATATTTGTTTAATGCTAATTTGTGAGATTATTGTTGAAGCATATATTGACATTGCTATTTTATTTTATCACAAGCTATATTCTTATATGCATCGGAGGTGCTACTCCTATCATATCTTATTGACTAACATGTCGAATTAATATGCAAGTTTATTCAAATTGCCTTTTTTTAGTATTCATTTTAACGTCTACTTTTTACTGCAAAATGAAAACCACAAGGTGTTAGCTCTTCTATGGTAACACTATGTCCTTTTATCCCCAGGCTAGCATATTTGGCTAAAACCTATCATTTCATATTTTTGGACAGTCGATGGGTTCACCAAATGTGAGAAATGGATACGTGATGATATTGTTGACACAAAAGAGTCCAAGACAACTTCATGGCTAAAGAGGTTCATAGGGCGTGCAAAGAAACCGGCAATGACATGGCCATTCCCTTTTGTGGAAGACAGGCTATTTGTTCTTACTATACAAGCTGGTGTTGAAGGTTTCCACATATATGTTGGTGGTCGACATGTGACATCTTTCCCTTATCGACCAGTATGTTCTAGACATATCCAGCCCTCCTTTTTTTAGTGATATTTAGAAGAAATACTAATGGGTTGATGTGATCAATTCCAGGGGTTCACTCTTGAAGATGCAACAGGATTATATGTTAAGGGTGATGTGGATGTCCATTCAGTTTATGCCACTGCTCTTCCTATGTCTCATCCCAGTTTTTCCCTTCAACAAGTCCTTGAAATGTCAGACAAATGGAGGTCCCAACCACTGCCAAGAGATCCAGTTTACCTTTTTATCGGAATACTTTCGGCATCAAATCATTTTGCTGAGCGCATGGCTGTGAGAAAAACTTGGATGCAAACTTCAGAAATTAAGTCTTCTAAAGTAGTCGCACGATTCTTTGTAGCACTGGTAAGCAAATTATGCATCCAAAATAAATGACATTTTTGTCAAATGTATCTTTGTCCTTAAATGAATCTTTATATCTTTTACTGGTGTTGTGTGTGTGTATATATATATATATATATATATATATATATATATATATATATATATATATGTGCATGATCATTGTGTAGTTCGGGATAATGGAGTATAAGATGTAATATGTGGGTCACATGCAAGAACAGAAACTTGGTCTCTGAAATTTCTTGTATCCAGAGGATTCTGTTGGCTATCTACTGTTCACTTTCATGCTTTTTGAGTGCTGGGGTATGTTTGGATTGTGGTCAAAGTGTACCCTACCAAAATTTTGGTCATGACCAAATGATTGGTATTTGTTTGGATGGTTGCCAATTATTTGGCATGCCAATGAACTCTAGCCAACTCTAGTTCATTTTTCTTGCCAATGTTGGCCAAATCATTGGCAACCAAAACCTCAACCAATATTTTGGCTAGCCAATATTTTGGTGGGGCAACCTTGGGCATAAACCAAACACACCCCTAGTATCTTGAATGATTTGATATAGCTTTACCAACCTTATATTTTTTGCATACTTTCTTACATATATCATAGTGAAAATCACTATTTGCGCTGAATGTCTACTTATTAACTCGTTAACCAGATGCACCCAATGATGGGAAATATCAGTTGCATGTTTATCATCTCATAAAGGAAGGAAAAACAAAGTTTTTTAGGAAATGACTGCATGGCATGATGTTGTTCATTACAAATTGTGGTTGCAGAATTCGAGGAAAGAGGTCAATGTGATGCTGAAGAAAGAAGCTGAATACTTCGGAGATATTGTCATTTTGCCATTTATAGATCGTTATGAACTGGTAGTTCTTAAGACAATCGCTATTTGCGAGTATGGGGTGAGACACTCTTGCCGTCACTATCTTTTATTAAACTTCTGCTAATTTTTTCCTATTGCTAATTTGGTATGGTTCGCCAATGTCAACTGGAAGTTGTAAGCGTGTACTTATGATCTTTGTCCATCATTGGGCATTTATGTCCTAGCAATGCCCTTACTGCGTATCTCAATAGAGGCGATAGAGCTGTTTGAACTTAAGCCCTACCAAGAGAGTCGTTGCTAGAATAATTCTTTACAACTGCATGGAATGCACTTTGGGGTGAGTGGCTTAATTATCTTTCATGTAACTCTTTGAGAGTCGCTTCTGGGAGAAGTTACCCCTCAAACATGGATTGAAGTCTATGGTATGGGGATCATGAAATTTACAGGAGTAGTAGTCACTTTGCAGTGTGGACTAAATAATGAACCTAACATCTGTTTATCATGTCACCTTGCAGGTCCAGAACTTGACAGCGGCCCATGTCATGAAATGTGACGACGATACATTTGTGAGGGTAGATGTGGTTCTCAGACATATCAAGATGAACTCCCTTGGCAAACCATTATACATGGGGAACCTTAACCTCTTGCATAGACCACTGAGAACTGGGAAATGGGCAGTTACGGAGGAGGTATTATCCTTAAAACAAAGCAATATTCCTCAAGTTAAGCAGCTGATTATTCAGTGTCCATATTTTGGATTCCGTGCAATCCCATGAGTTAGTCTTTGTTACACCGTGTATCTGAATCTTCTTTCTTCTAACCAAGAAAGCTAATCTCACAAGTTTGCGAGCTGTGTTTTACGGCCTTAAAAGCTGAACGGCCAACTTTAGGGTGGTAATTCAAACATAGGAAATGACTGTTCTTGCTAAAAGCCCACCATGAATTTGTTTTTTTGTCTACAGAAATCACAGCCCTTTTTTGTGTTGCCAACATATGCATGCCACCATCTTCATTGCTCGCCTTAATCCCTACTCATAATGAATGCAGGAGTGGCCTGAAGATATCTATCCGCCTTATGCTAATGGACCCGGTTATGTAATTTCTGGTGGCATAGCAAAATTCGTCGTGTCTCAGCATGCCAATCAGAGTTTAAGGGTGAGCCTCCATTGATGCAACACACTGTATTTTGATAACTTGAATCATGTTATGTGAGCCTCCATTGATGCAACACACTGTATTTTGATAACTTGAATCATGTTATGTCAATCACTCTACTTTTCTGGCTATTTGGCTTGCAGCTATTCAAGATGGAGGATGTAAGTATGGGGCTATGGGTTGAAAAATTCAATTATACCATGCCTGTCAGGTATTCTCATAGCTGGAAGTTCTGCCAGTATGGTTGCCTCGAGAACTACTACACTGCGCACTATCAGTCGCCAAGGCAAATGCTATGCTTGTGGGACAAGTTGGTTCGTGGTCGCCCATCCTGCTGCAATTACAGATAGTGAGATGCGATCTATCATTCACTCGCAGTCAGCATTCCTTCTATCCCAGCAGGTGAGTTTGGCTGGCTGGTGTTCTCCTTTTTGACATGAATCACCTAGCATAGAGGCTGCTGCTCCATTGGCTCGATTGAGCTTACATTGCTTGAGGTTGAAGCTTGAAGATTAGGTAGAAAGCTACAACCATCTGGTTTCATACATTAGCCTGATTTGCGTTTCTCATCTACTTAGCATCCACATGTGCCCTTGTAATTGATGCCAGTTTTCTTCCAGGGAGATTAATCCCAATTTTGATGTAGAACATGTGGTCAAAATGTTCAGATGTATGCCTGCTCTTATGGTAGAGAAAATGATCACAACTTGTCTCTCTCGTCTCCCTATGGGCTTAAAGTCATCGGTGGTTTCTTTCCATTCACGGTGTATATTTGCGCAAATCTTGTCACCTTTACAAGTTGTGGCTCCAAATTTGTTGAATGCTATTCCCTTCAGTCCAGAATATAAGGTGTATCGATTTTCATGCAAGTCGAACTTGTGTATGTTTGACCAAGATTATAAAATAAAATATCGACATCTACAATACAAATAAAATAAAATATGAAAATACTTTTTGTGATAGATGTAATGATAAAATTTGATACTGTAGATATTGATATTTTTCTAAAAACTTGGTCATACATTACCAATTTTTGACTTTTGAAAAAACTAATGCATCTTATATTCTGAAATGGAGGGAGCAATATGTTTGGTACTCCCTCCTTTCTGGTTTATAGGGCTTATCTCAAAATTTTAGTTTTTTCATTTTATAAGGCTCAATTTGGTTGTTTTCCATCACATGTTCAGACTTCAAGGTGTATTAAATCGTCGTATGCAAGTATTAGGAGAAAACTGATCAATGCATGCATGCATTGCAATTAATGCATTCGTAAACATAATTTTTTAAGGAAAACAAGAGCATTAATTGAGTGCTTTTGCAAACTATAAAAAATATTCCACCATTCATTATCAACCTTGGTTGGTGAGATTTTTGAATTGAGCCTTATAAACCGAAAAGGAGGGAGTAGTTTCTCTTCATAGCTCAATTTACTTTTCTGCCACACGCTTCGGTAAAGCCATAGTTTCTGATTTCACGGCTTGTGTGCGTTAGTCTAAATGTGGGTGCAACGCTTGATGGTCTTGTCTGGCGTTAAACACGACTGCGACCATAGTTAAATACAGAAAACCACCGCAATAAAGGCCAGGTTTGCAGGAAACACGCATTAAGGGCCAGGTTTGCATAAATCACTGATCGGCAGAGTAAGGTGTTTTGAGCACGTTTCTTTTTTTAAGCACGTTTGTGATAGGTGGCACCCGGTTTTTTCCCAATATGGAGTAACGGTTTGAGTAGACCATGAGCCGGCGGAGGTCGCGACGACGTAGGTAGCAATGGGTGCGTTGTAGACCATGAGCCGGCAGAGGTGTGCGGGAGCTCAAACCCTGACTGAGACCGGAGGCCGCCACAGTCGTTGGAATATGCGGCGTAGCATGCTTCCGCTTGAGCGGTCAAGGCGACTCCGACAGGGGGCCACTGTTGGGCCTCGTCGTTTGGCGGTGTTGAGTAAGTCCTTCCCCTCTATGCAGTGGCGGAGGTTAATGAAGATTATTGACGGGGCTAATCAGAGTTGAGGAGGCGAAGAAGATAAGTTATGCATGAACTGTGAAAAATCTTTGATATTAAACCTAATAATATTAAAGGTATATTTAAGAGTTTTTTTAGAGTAGAGAAGGCAATGGCCTCCTTTGGCCCCATGAAGCTCCGCCACTGCCTATGTCCCCTTTTGCTTCGATTTAAGCTTAGGTTCTAAAGCAATTTGAGGAAACAAATCACTGCCATGCACTGTATAAATTAAGGAGTACACAATCACTGACATGCCATGTAAAATTGAATTTGGGGGTTATGTGAAAAATGGGTTGTTTAGGCTCTATCAAATTTAGGAGATTTAATTATGCTATACTACTTTTTTAATTGGCTAGTCTCTACTACCCCCTCTGTTTCTAAATACAAGTCTTTATAGAGATTTCACTATGGACTACATACGGAGTAAAATGAGTGAACTTATACTCTAAAATGCGTCTATATACATCCGCATGTGGTCCATAGTGAAATCTCTCAAAGACTTATATTTAGGAACGGAGGGAGTATAAAAGAAAATGTTGTTGGTTTCCATTTCATTGTTTCCACCCCTCCCATCGATACATGACCCCTCCCACCTTTTTTTTTTTCAAACTACGAGGTAATCCATTTTTTTTCCAAACCGACCCTCCCACGTTGTTTCTGGCGAAAATTTTAATTACTGTTTACAGTGAACATAGCAACAATTCCAAATGAGCACTACAAGTTTTCTTACGCGAAACTTGAGGCATTCTAAGATCCACTCCAGACATCTCATGGCCGAAAGGAAGGTTTCAACTCACTGATTTGTTTGCTGTCAGTATTTTCCTTCGGTTTAGAGGCAAAAGTAGTTCTCTTCCTCTAAAAAGTTACCAAAAAATTGGGAAAAAGGTAATGAAAATGTATGTTTTTACAAATGCCCATTTCCCTCGTATTTAGAGGGTCTCCCCCTAGAACTGAGCTATTTCATATAACAAGTTTCTTCAATCCTGAAAGGATTGATACACTTAATCACTATTTTTTTTTGTTCTAGTGGAAACTTGTCAGAATCCTCGTACATTTGTTTTTAGATAAAAGGCAAGGCCGAGCTTGAGAAAATGCTCAAACCTACTTGATTTTGAATTAACAAAGCCATCAACTAACCAAGATTACACCTAGCATCAAATACAAAGAAAATAATAACAAAACGACAAAGATACAAGATGCCAAAACGGCTAACAACCTAGCAGTGGTACAAGCAATCTAAAGATAGAGACACTGTGCCCAGCCTAAATCACCGAGGCCAAACGCCTAGAACAACAACCACACCAGAACCGGGGTGAAAAACAGCGAGCGACACCAGCATCAGTAGCCAACATCCTCATCGCCTACTACCGCAGAATTTGCCAACAAGCACCCGATCCTACCTCTGAAGATGACTATAATCCTCTCGCCCTGACTCAAAGGGCGCCATACAGTCGGAAGGCAGAGTGCTCACCTAGTATGGAGCCATCCTTGTATCGCCAGTCCAAACACCCTCCTATTCGCTGCCAACTAAACAATGACCACCACAAGATCATCACATTCATGCTCAGCAAAACTTACAAAGCCTATGAATAGTAAACCCTAGAACAATTTGCGCATATTTCATAAAATAAACAGGAAAACGAGCACACAATTTATAGAAATTTATAACTTACATGCTCAACACATGCAAGGAACCTCTTGCCCATGTGCATCCCTTCCAAAGCAACACACATCTCTGCCGACTTGTCGCGGTCGCGCGAGATACTCAAATCTAGGTCAATGCCGCTAAAATCGGGTCATGCATTGTAGTTGGGAGCTGGAAGAGCAAAGAAAAGCACACAATTTGCAAGAAAGAGTTGAGATTGGGTCAGATGAAAAATCCCCAAATCAAAACACTAATCCCAGACACAAAAATCCACTCATAAAAATGCCAAAGTCAGAGTTTAAGAGACATAGTGGATGGAATCCTTACTAGTCTCACAGTCACTAGAAGAAACCATGGTGCATGGAGCGGCAAGCGTCCTGGTCGACGCTGACGACAAGTGTTAGGGCATATTTCTCCCTAAATGGTTTTTGTGATTGATGACAACATGTTTACAGACTAATTGTGTGCATTGAGCCTTTCAGACTATCAAGCATATGGCACAAGACCATTCGTTGCCCTCGGAGTTTCAAGAGAAGACGATTTTCTTTCTCGTGGTTCTTTTCTGGTGGACTTGAGTCGTAGGGAAAACCGTACTATCAAGAGGGGGTCCGTATCGGGAAGGTTTGGGTGGAATCAACACGTACACACTCATATTGCACCCATCAACCACTTCCGTTTCTTTGGAGTTGTCCTCCGTGTTGCATCGAATGAGGGGAGAAGAGCCACAATGGTAGTACCGCTGGCCACAGCGGTAGTACCACTGTGACCACCGCTCGCACTACCACTCGTGGCTGGGGATCTCGATTTTTCATGTCAGGATCTACTGTGGTTCCTCCGGGTTACTGCCGTGCTTCTCATTTGTCCCTAGGAGATGGGCGGATGCAGCAACGGTAGTTTGGGCGGTAGTACCTCCCTACTATCGCGACTACCACCGCCGGCCCTCTGCTTTTCCCCCGTTCTTCTTTATTCCTTGCATCTTGTATATGTGCGGTAGTCCCGCTCGTGCAAGCGGTAGTACCGCTCGTCTACGGGCTGTGAGATGGATAACGGTTGGATTTGTTCCCCCCACTATAAAGGGGGTCTTCTCCCCAAGAAGACTTCACCTCTTTTCCCCCAAGCTCCATTGTTGCTCCAAAGCTCATTTTTACCCGATCTCTCTCCCTAGCCAATCAAACTTGTTGATTTTCTAGGGATTGGTTGAGAAGGCCCGGATCTACACTTCCACCAAGAGAAATTTGATTCCCCCACTAATCCCTTGCGGATCTTGTTACTCTTGGGTGTTTGAGAACCCTAGACGGTTGAGGTTACGTCGAAGTCACATTCCAATGTGGTGAAGCTCCGTAGTATGATTGGGAGCCTCCAATCAAGTTGTGGAGATAGTCCCAACCTTGTTTGTAAAGGTTCGGTCGCCGCCTTCAAGGGCACCACTAGTGGAATCACGACATCTCGCATTGTGTGAGGGCATGAGGAGAATACGGTGGCTGTTGGGGATATAACTATTAGGTATGACCCGCCCAGGAGGGGCCGGGTCATCCCTATGACGATTCATCACAATGAAGCCCAAGATCATATGGCGGTTCATAGGTAGGCTTAGTAGAGGGCCCAGACCCGAAGGCGGCTTAAGGCCCATAGATATAAACCGCCATGTATGTAAAACTTCTATTGTAAGGTATGTAAGAAAGGTCACCGAGCCGGATACGTTGT